CGTCACCCCGAGGAGACGAGGAGGAGACCCAGGAGGTCGCCCCGTCACTCCCGAGGAGGACGAGGAGGAGACCCAGGAGGTCGCCCCGTCACCCGAGGAGGACGAGGAGGAGACCCAGGAGGTCGCCCCCGTCACTCCCGAGGAGGAGACCAGGAGGTCGCCCCGTCACTCCGAGGAGACGAGGAGGAGACCCAGGAGGTCGCCCCGTCACTCGAGGAGGAGACCCAGGAGGTCGCCCCGTCACTCCGAGGGACGAGGAGGAGACCCAGGAGGTCGCCCCGTCACTCCCGAGGAGGAACGAGGAGGAGACCCAGGAGGTCGCCCCGTCACTCCCGAGGAGGACGAGGAGGAGACCCAGGAGGTCGCCCCCGTCACCCCGAGGAGGGACGAGGAGGAGACCCAGGAGGTCGCCCCGTTCCCGAGGACGAGGAGGAGACCCAGGAGGTCGCCCCCGTCACTCCCGAGGAGGACGAGGAGGAGACCCAGGAGGGTCCCCCCGGAGAGGACGAGGAGGAGACCCAGGAGGTCGCCCCCGTCACTCCCCGAGGAGGGACGAGGAGGAGACCCAGGAGGTCGCCCCCGTCATCCCGAGGAGACGAGGAGGAGACCCAGGAGGTCGCCCCCGTCACTCCCGAGGAGGACGAGGAGGAGACCCAGGAGGTCGCCCCCGTCACTCCCGAGGAGGACGAGGAGGAGACCCAGGAGGTCGCCCCGTCACTCCCGAGGAGACGAGGAGGAGACCCAGGAGGTCGCCCCCGTCACTCCGAGGAGGACGAGGAGGAGACCCAGGAGGTCGCCCCGTCACTCCCGAGGAGACGAGGAGGAAACCCAGGAGGTCGAGAGACGAGGAGGAGACCCAGGAGGTCGCCCCGTCACTCCGGGAGGACGAGGAGGAGACCCAGGAGGTCGCCCCCGTCACTCCCGAGGAGACGAGGAGGAGACCCAGGAGGTCGCCCGAGGAGGGAGGAGACCCAGGAGTCGCCCCGTCACTCCGAGGAGGACGAGGAGGAGACCCAGGAGGTCGCCCCCGTCACTCCGAGGAGGACGAGGAGGGGACCCAGGAGGTCGCCCCCGTCACTCCGAGGAGGACGAGGAGGAGACCCAGGAGGTCGCCCCCGTCACTCCGAGGAGGAACCCAGGAGGTCGCCCCGTCACTCCCGAGGAGGACGAGGAGGAGACCCAGGAGGTCGCCCCCGTCACTCCCGAGGAGGACGAGGAGGAGACCAGGAGGTCGCCCCCGTCATCCCGAGGAGGACGAGGAGGAGACCCAGGAGGTCGCCCCCGTCACCCGAGGAGGACGAGAGGAGACCCAGGAGGTCGCCCCCGTCACTCCCGAGGAGGAGACCAGGAGGCGAACGGAGGAGGAGACCCAGGAGGTCGCCCCCGTCACTCCCGAGGAGGACGAGGAGGAGACCCAGGAGGTCGCCCCGTCACCCGAGGAGGACGAGGAGGGGACCCAGGAGGTCGCCCCCGTCACTCCCGAGAGACGAGAGGAGACCCAGGAGGGTCGCCCCGTCACCGAGGAGGACGAGGAGGAGACCCAGGAGTCGCCCCCGTCACCCCGAGGAGGACGAGGAGGAGACCCAGGAGGTCGTCCCCGAGGAGGATGAGGAGACCCAGGAGGTCGCCCCCGTCACTCCGAGGAGGACGAGGAGGAGACCCAGGAGGTCGCCCCCGTCACCCCCGAGGAGGACGAGGAGGAGACCCAGGAGGTCGCCCCTCAGAGGAGGCGAGGAGGAGACCAGAGTCGCCCCGCCCGAGGAGGACGAGGAGGAGACCCAGGAGGTCGCTCCCGAGGAGGACGAGGAGGAGACCCAGGAGGTCGCTCCCGAGGAGGACGAGGAGGAGACCCAGGACCGAGAGAGGACGAGGAGGAGACCAGGAGGTCGCCCCCGTCACCCCGAGGAGGACGAGGAGGAGACCCAGGAGGTCGCCCCCGTCACTCCCGAGGAGGACGAGGAGGAGACCCAGGAGGTCGCCCCCGTCACCCCCGAGGAGGACGAGGAGGAGACCCAGGAGGTCGCCCCCGTCACTCCCGAGGAGGACGAGGAGGAGACCCAGGAGGTCGCCCCGTCACTCCGAGGAGGGAGAGGAGGAGACCCAGGAGGTCGCCCCCGTCACTCCCGAGGAGGACGAGGAGGAAACCCAGGAGGTCGCCCCCATCATTCCCGAGGAGGACGAGGAGGAGACCCAGGAGGTCGCCCCCGTCACTCCCGAAGGACGAGGAGGAGACCAGGAGTCACTCCCGAGGATCGAGGAGGAGACCCAGGAGGTCGCCCCCGTCACTCCCGAGAGGACCCAGGAGGTCGCCCCGCCCGAGGAGGACGAGGAGGAGACCAGGAGGTCGCCCCGAGGAGTCACCAGGAGGTCGCCCGTCCCCCCGAGGAGACGAGGAGGAGACCCAGGAGGTCGCCCCCGTCACTCCCGAGGAGGACGAGGAGGAGACCCAGGAGGTCGCCCCCGAGGAGGACGAGGAGGAGACCCAGGAGGTCGCCCGTCACGTCCCGAGGAGAGGACGAGGAGGAGACCCAGGAGGTCGCCCCCGTCACTCCGAGGAGACGAGGAGGAGACCCAGGAGGTCGCCCCCGCGAGGAGACGAGGAGGACCCAGGAGGTCGCCCCCGTCACTCCGAGGAGGACGAGGAGGAGACCCAGGAGGTCGCCCCCGTCATCCCGAGGAGGACGAGGAGGAGACCCAGGAGGTCGCCCCGTCACTCCCGAGGAGGACGAGGAGGAGACCCAGGAGGTCGCCCCCGGAGGAACCCAGGAGGTTCGTCCCCGTCACTCCCGAGGAGACGAGGAGGAGACCCAGGAGGTCGCCCCCGTCATCCCGAGGAGGACGAGGAGGAGACCCAGGAGGTCGACCGAGGAGGGGAGGAGACCCAGGAGGTCCCCCGTCATCCCCGAGGAGGACGAGAGGAGACCCAGAGGTCGCCCCCGTCACTCCCGAGGAGGACGAGGAGGAGACCCAGGAGGTCGCCCCCGTCACTCCCGAGGAGACGAGAGGAGACCCAGGAGGTCGCCCCCGTCACTCCCGAGGAGGCCGAGGAGGAGGAGGACCAGGAGGTCGCCCCCGTCACTCCGAGGAGGACGAGGAGGAGACCCAGGAGGTGCCCCGACGAGGAGGACGAGACCCAGGAGGTCGCCCCGTCACTCCCGAGGAGGACCCGAGGGAGGAGACCCAGGAGGTCGCCCGTCATCCGAGGAGGAGGAGGAGACCCAGGAGTTCGCCCCGTCACTCCCGAGAGGACGAGGAGGAGACCCAGGAGGTCGCCCCCCCGTCATCCCGAGGAGGACGAGGAGGAGACCCAGGAGGTCCCCGTCATCCCGAGGAGGACGAGGAGGGACCCAGGAGGTCGCCCCCGTCACTCCCGAGGAGACGAGGAGGAGACCCAGGAGGTCGCCCCCGAGAGGAGGATGAGGAGACCCAGGAGTTCGCTCCCGTCACTCCCGAGGAGGACGAGGAGGAGACCCAGGAGGTCGCCCCCGTGAGGAGGAGACGAGGAGGAGACCCAGGAGGTCGCCCCCGTCACTCCCGAGGAGGACGAGGAGGAGACCCAGGAGGCGCCCCCGTCATCCCGAGGAGGACGAGGAGGAGACCCAGGAGTTCGCCCCCGTCACTCCGAGGAGACGAGGAGGAGACCCAGGAGGTCGCCCCGTCACTTCCGAGGAGGAGGAGGGACCCAGGAGGTCGCCCCCGTCACTAGGAGTACGAGGAGGAGACCCAGGAGGTCGCCCCGAGGAGGAATAGGAGGAGACCAGGAGGAGTCACCCCGAGGAGGAGGAGAGCCCAGGGGTCCCTCGCTCCCGTCACTCCCGAGGAGACGAGAGGGAGACCAGGAGGTCGCCCCCGAGGAGGACGAGGAGGAGGAGGCAGGAGGTCGCCCCGTCACTCCCGAGGAGGAGGAGGAGGAGGAGACCCAGGAGGTCGCCCCCGTCCACTCCCGAGGAGACGAGGAGGAGACCCAGGAGGTCGCCCCGTCACTCCCGAGGAGGACGAGGAGGAGACCCAGGAGGTCGCCCGTCACTCCCGAGGAGTACGAGGAGACCCAGGAGGCGCCCCCGAGAGGAGACCCAGGAGTTCACTCCCGTCACTCCGAAGAGATCGAGAGACCAGGAACCCGAGGAGGAGACCCAGAGTCGCCCGTCACTGACCCCCGTGAGAGAGAACGAGGAGAGACCAGGACCGAGAGGACAGGAGACCCAGGTCGCCCCCCGAGGAGAGACGAGGAGGAGACCCCTGGGAGGTCGCCCCGAGGAGGACGAGGAGGAGACCCAGGAGGTCGCCCCCGTCATCCCGAGGAGGACGAGAGGAGACCCAGGAGGTCGCCCCCGTCTACTCCCGAGGAGTACGAGGAGGAGACCCAGGATTCGCCCCGTCACTCCGAGGAGGACGAGGAGGGAGACCCAGGAGTTCGCTCCCGTCACTCGAGGAGGAGGACCAGAGAGGTCACTCCGAGGAGGACGAGGAGGAGACCCAAGGAGGTTCGCCCCGGCATCCCCCAGGAGGACGAGAGGGNACGATGAGAAGACTCAGGAGGTTGCCCCCGTCACTCCCGAGCAGGAGACCCAGGAGGATGCCCCCGTCACTCCCGAGGAGGAGACCCAGGAGGTCGCCCCTGTCGAGGATGAGGAGAAGACCCAAGAGGTTGCCCCCGTCACTCCTGAGGAGGAGACCCAGGAGGTTGCCCCCGTCACTCCTGAGGAGGAGACCCAGGAGGTTGCCCTCGTCACTCCTGAGGAGGAGACCCAGGAGGTTGCCCCTGTCACTCCCGAAGAAGACGAGGAGACCCAGGAGGTCGCCCCTGTCACTCCCGAGGAGGACGAGGAGGAGACCCAGGAGGTCGCCCCCATCACTCCCGAGGAGGAGACCCAGGAGGTCGACCCGGTCGCCCCCAAGGAGGACAAGGAGGAGACCCAGGAGGTCGCCCCCGTCACTCCCGAGGAAGACCAGGAGACCCAGAAGGTCGTCCCCGTCACTCCCGAGGAGGAGACCCAGTCATGGATAAGATTCAATCATTCCCAGATATCAGCCAAACATGTGGAGAGACCTCAATGGATGAGACCTTACTTTTGTACACTTTGGAGCTGAACTATCAGTAGGGCAGATAAGCTATAGCTTCGCAATATCACGGGGTGTGTTTGGCCTCTAGATTTGCAGTTTCCAATTTCATGACTTCTTCTCCCTCACTCCCTGCACCAAATAATAAATGTAGATTGTGTATACATGGTTTCTCTAACAAAACATAAAAGGAAACATTGATAATATTAATAAATTTTTTATTACCATAACACTTGTTAAATACAAGAAAACCCATTTTTAAAAACAAGGTTAATATTTTTTTTCTTTATTGAAAACAAAATTGCTCAATTGTACTTCAACTTCTTTATATTCCCTAGACTTTACAGAATGTGTATATAACAATCAAACTAATGCTAAGTGTTGCTAATAAAATAATATTGGCAATCACAATAATAACGATGATAATAATAGTAATAACAATAATGGTAAAAAGTGATAGCCATTTAAAATTTCATAACAATTTTTAAAAATCACATTTAAATATCTATAAACCTTGATAAAATTAAATAATATATAATATGTCTATATCTCTTTCTAGATGTATTTGTAATGCATCTTCCTTAGAGCACATTTACATACACAAACTCATTTGAGCGAGGCACAGTGTGTGTTTTAAATGAAAAGTTACATTTTCTGCTTTAACTGTAAAAATATCTTTTACTTAAATACAGTATATATTTTTTTTCAAATTGAAAAATACAAATATACATCCCTAAATATAACTTTTCAGAAGTTAAAAATACAACACAATTCACACCCACACACTAACATGCACCCAAAACACAGACACACAATTGGTTCCACAAAATGCATGTTGGCTGTCCATATCTTCTGTATTTCAAAGTAAAAATATATCACATAAACAACTACAATTTCATTATTGTTATCATCATCATTATTATGATTGAATATACAAATATGTATGTACATACATATCAACACACATATATAAATACATATACATATACATGCATATATACTTATTCATAAATATATATATATATATATATATANCCTGAGGAGCAGACCAGCCGAGGTCGCCCCGTCACCCCTAGAGGAGGAACCAGTGAGTCGCCCGTACCCTGAGGAGGAGACCCAGGAGGTCGCCCCGTCACCCCTGAGGAGGAGACCCAGGAGGTCGCCCCGTCACCCCCGAGAGACCCAGGAGGTCGCCCCCGTCACCCCCGAGGAGGACGAGGAGGAGACCCAGGAGGTCGCCCCGTCAGCCACGACGAGGACGAGGAGGAGACCCAGCAGGTCGCCCCGTCACCCCCGAGGAGGACGAGGAGGAGACCCAGCAGGTCGCCCCGTCACCCCGAGCGAGACGAGGCGGAGGACAGGAGGTCGCCCCCGTCAGCCCTGAGGGAGGAGACCCAGGAGGTCGCCCGTCACCCGAGAGGACGAGGGAGAGACCCAGGAGGTCGCCCCGTCACCCTGAGGAGGAGACCCAGGAGTCGCCCCGTTACCCCCGAGGAGGAACGAGGAGGACCCAGGGAGGTTGCCCCGTCACCCCGCAGGAGGAGCCCAGGAGTGCCCCGTCACCCCGAGGAGGAGAGGACCCGAGGTCGCCCCCTGTCACCCCGAGGAGGACGAGGAGGAGACCAGGAGGTCACCCACCGACCGAGGACGAGTAGGAGACCCAGGAGGTCGCCCGTCACCCTGAGGAGGAGACCCAGTGAGGTCGCCCCCGTCACCCCCAAGGAGGACGAGGAAGGAGACCCAGGAGGGTCGCCCCGTCACCCTGAGGAACAGGAGGCGCCCCGTCACCCCCGAGGAGGACGAGGAGGAGACCAGGAGGTCGCCCCGTTCAACCCCTGAGGAGGAGACCCAGGAGGTCCCCCTGTCGAGGGGAGACCCAGGAGGTCGCCCCACCCCCGAGGAGGACGAGGAGGAGACCCAGGAGGTCGCCCGTCACCCCCGAGAGGACGAGGAGAGGCCCAGACACGACCCACTTCACCGCCCAGAGGGACCCCGAGGAGGGACGAGGAGGTCCGCCCCGTCAGCCACGACGAGGACGAGTAGGAGACCCAGGAGGTTGCCCGTCAGGCCGCCGAGGAGGAAAGAGGAGAGACCCAAGCAGGTCGCCCGTCACCACACCGACGAGGACGAGGAGGAGACCCAGGAAGCTCGCCGCAAGTACCCCCGTAAAGGAGGACAGAGGAGGAGACCCAGGAGGTCGCCCCCGTCACCCCCGAAGGAGAACGAGGAAGGAGACCCCAGGAGGTCTCGCCCCCGTTCAGACCACGACGAGGACTGAGGAGGAGACCCAGAGGTCGCCCCGTCACCCCTGAGGAGAAGACCCAGGAAGTCGCCCGTCACCCTGAGGAGGAGACCCCAGGAAGGTCCCGCCCGTCACCCCGAGGAGGAGACCCCAGGAGGTTGCCCGTCACCCCCGCAGGAAGGACAAGGAGGAGACCCAGGAGGTCGCCACCGTCACACCCTGAGAGGAGACGCCAGGAGGTCGCCCCCCGTCCGCCCCGGGGAGGAGACCCAGGAGGTTGCCCCCGTCACCCCGAGGAGACCGAGGAGGAGACCCAGGAGGTCGCCCCGTCACCCCTGAGGAGGAGACCCAAGGAGGTCGCCCCCCGTCACCCCTGAGGCAGGAGACCCAGGAGGTCGCACCGTCACCCCCCGATGAAGGAGACCCCAGGAAGTTGCACGTCACCCCCGAGGAGGACAAGGAGGAGACCCAGGAGGTCGCCCCCCGTCACCCCCGAGGAGGACGAGGCAGGAGACCCAGGAGGTCGCCGCCGTCCACCCCTGAGGAGGAGACCACAGGAAGTCGCCCCGTCACCCCTGAGGAGGAGACCCCAGAAGGTCGCCCGTCACCGAGCGCCTGAGGAGAAGACCCAGGAGGCGCGCCCCGTCACGCGCGGCGAGGAGAGAGCGCCCAAGGAGGTCGCCGCCGCTCACCACCTGAGGAGGAGACCCCAGGAGGTCGCCCCGTCCCACCCCGAGGAGGAGAACCCCAGAGAGTGCGCCCGCCCGTCACCCCCGAGAGGACGAGGAGGAGAACCCAGGAGGTCGCGCCCGTCAGCCACGACGAGGACAGGAGGAGAACCCAGCAGGTGCGCCCCGTCACCGCCCGAGGAGTGACGAGACCCCAGCAGTCGCGCCCCGTCACCACCCCGAGGAAGGACGAAGGAGGAGACGCCAGAGTCGCCCCCGTCCAGCCCTGAGGAGGAGACCCAGGAGGTCCGCCCCGTCCACCCCCGAGGGAGGAACGAGGCAGGAAGACCCAGGAGTCCGCCCCCGTCAGCCCTGCGAGGAGGAGAACCCAGGAGTCGCCCCGTTACCCCTGAGGAGGAGACCAGGAGGTGCCCCCCGTCACCACCGAGAAGGAGACCAGGAGGTTGCCCTGCACCGCACGAGGAGACGAGGAAGGAGACCCAGGGAGGTAGCCCCCCAGTCACCCCCGAGGAGGACGAGGAGAAGACCCAGCAGGTCGCCCCCGTCACACCACGACGAAGGACGCAGGAAGGAAGACCCCAGGAGGTCCGCCCCCGTCACCCCTGAAGAGGAGAACCTCAGGAGGTCGCCCGTCACCCCGAGGAGGACGAGGAGGAGACCCAGGAGGTCGCCCCCGTCCACCCCCTGAGGAGACCCAGGAGGTCGCCCCCCGTCACCAAACCCCGAGGAAGGACGAGGCAGGAGACCCAGGAAGGTCGCCCCGTCACCCCTGAGGAGGAGAACCCAGGAGGTCGCCCCCGTCACCCCTGGAGGAGGAGATCCCAGGAGTCGCCCCGTCCGCCCGAGGAGACGGAGGAGGAGACCCAACGAGGTCGCCCGTCACCTGAGGAGACCCAGGAGGTCGCCCCGTCACCCGAGGAGGACGAAGGAGAGACCCAGAGAGTCGCCCGTCAGCCCACGACGAGGACGAAGGAGGAGACCCACGGAAGGTCAGCCCCCGTCACACCTGAGGAGAGACCCAGGAGGTCAGCCCCGTCACCCTGAGGAGGAGAAGCCCAGGAGTCGCCCCGTCCACCGCCCGAGGAGGAGACCAGGAGGTTGGCCCCGTCACCCCCGAGGAGGACAAAGGGAGGAGACGCCAGGAGGTTCGCCCCGTCACCCCTGAGAGGACGACCCCAGGAGGTCGCCCCCGTCACCCCCAGAGGGAGGAGAACGCCAGGAGGTTGCCCCGTCACCCCCGAGGAGGACGAGGAGGAAGACCCACGGAGGTCGCCCCGCACCCTGAGGAGGAAGAACCCAGGAGTCGCCCCCTCACCCCTGAGGAGAGACCCAGGACGGTCGCCCCGTCAAACCTGCCCCGAGGAGCACCAGGAAGTTGCCCCGTCACCCGCGGCCGAGGCAGGACAAGCCGAGAACCCAGGAGGTCGCCCCCGTCACCGCCCACGAGGAAGGACGAGGAGGAAGACCCAGGAGGTGCCCCGTCAGCCCACGACCGAGGAACGAGGAGGGAGACCCAGCAGGTCGCCTCCCGTCACTCTGCCGAGGAGACGAGAAAGGAGAACCCAGGAGGTCGCCCCACCCGTCACCTACGAGGAGGAGACCCAAGGAGTTGCCCCGTCACCCCCGAGGAGGAAAGGAGGAGACCCAGGGAGTTTGCCCCGTCACCCCCTGAACAGGGGGGGGGGGGAGGACAGGAGGAGACCCAGGAGGTTGCCCCCGTCACCCCCGAGAGACGAGGAGGAGAACCCCGCAGGTCCGCCCCGTCACCGCCCCGAGGAGGACTGAGGTATTACCAGGAAAGGTCGCCCCCGTCATCCCACCCGAGGAAGGACGAGGAGACCCAGGAGGTTGCCGCCCGTCACCCTGAGGAGGATCGAAGGAGGAGACGCACAGTGAGGTTGCCGCCGTCACCCCCGAAGGAGGCAACGAGGAGGAGACCCAGCAGGTCCCACCGTCACCGCCCCGAGGAGGAGAGGAGACCGCCGGAGGTCGTCTCCCCGCACCCCGAGGAGGACGAAGGAAGACCCAGGAGGGTCGCCCGCTCGTCACCCCGAGGAGGAAGACCCAACGAGGTTTGCCCCGTCACCCCGCGAGGAGGACAGGAGGAGACCCCAGAGTTTGCCCGTCACCCCCGAAGAGGACCGAGAGGAGACCCAGCGAGGTTGCCCTCGCACCCGAGGAGGACGAGGAGGAACCCAGCAAGGTCGCCCCGTCAACCCCGAGAAGGACGACCGAGACCCAGGAGGTCGCCCCCGTCACCCCGAAGGAAGGAACGAGGAGACCCAGGAAGGTCGCCCCCGTCACCCGCGCCCCAGGAGGACGAGGAGGAAGACCCAGGAGGTCGCCCCGTCAGCCACGACGAGACGAAGGAGGAAAGACCCCAGGAAGGTCGCCCCCAGTCACCCACTGAGCGGGGAGACCCAGGAGGGTGCCGCCGTCACGCCCGAGGAGGACAAGGAGGAAGACGCCAGGAGTTGCCCCGTCACCCTTCTTCTCCCGAGGACGGACGAGAAGAGACGCCAGGAAGGTGCCCCGTTGGCACCCCCGAGGAGGAACGAGGAGGAGACCCCAGGAGGTCGCACGCCCCGTCAACCCAGAGGATGACGAGGAGAGAGCCAGGAGGTCGCCCCGCCAGCCACGAACGAGGACGAAGAAGGAGAACCGCCAGGAGGTTGCCCCGTCACGCGCCCGAGGAGAGGCGAGAGGAGACCCAGCAGGTCGCCGCCGTCACCCCACGACGAGGACCGGAGGAGGAGCAGCGGCCAGGAGGTCGCCCCCGTCACCCCCTGAGGAGAGACGAGGAGGAGATCCCCAGGAAGGTCCGCCCCCGTCTGCGGCCGCGAACGGAGCCTCTGCACGGAGCAGAAGACAGCCGAAGCAACTGTCGTGCCTTGGGGGGCGGTCGCTCGCGCCAGCAGGAAGGAAATATGAAGTTGTGTATGGGGTCGCAGAGATCCCGTCTGCGATAATAGTATATGAAATAAATGAATAAATGGATAAATAAAGATATCATAATATCGTATATATAATATGAAACTATGTTATGTGTATATGATTGATATATATATAGATAGAGAGAGAGAGAGCGAGAGAGTGATAGGCAGGTAAGGCAGGCCAGGGCAGGCTAGCAGAAGACACAGGCAGGCAGGCAATAGAGAGACTGGCAGTAAGACAGAAATGACCAGATAGGTAGAACAGATGACAGATGATAAACAAGCAGAGAGATAAACCACGACATGGATAGACAGGCAGAGAGATAGACAGATTAGATAGACAGACAGAATACTTATATCCTGTGTGTGGTGCGTGGTCCATAAGCCCAGAAGGGCGTGGTCACTGGGCGGCGGAGGAGCGACAGAGTGCACGGGCGGCGGCGTCGTGAGGGCGCCCCCGAAGGCTGGCCTCGCTCGCGGCGGGCGGGGGCAGGGGCGGGGTGGGAGGAGGGGGGAGGGGAGCAGCACTGGAGTGACGCGACTATGAATCGTGGCGTTATTTTATAAAATAAATATATCATAAAGGAATCCACTGAGCGGGCTGCGAAAAGTCAGCTAAATAAATAATATATATATAAAGCCGGGGAAGGAAAGTGGATAATGCAATTAAAATCTATTACCTCGAAAATTAATTTGACTCGGCGCTTGATTATCATATTGATGAGCAATTTGATTTTGATTGTTTCACAAAGCTTGCTTAATCAGAGCTCGTTATTTTTCTGAATCTACGCCCGTGCAGAGACGCGTCGTGTGCGTGTGTCAGGACCTGTGTGCGTTTGAGTTAGAAATGCGTAACACAGGATCTTACGAAGGTTTGTGTAGAAGGTCTTAGATCGGGATAATTAACTTCGAAGATATCTCGTTTATTAGAATATTGTGGCATTCATGTAAAAGATTCATCTATGTGCGTTATTGTGCGTGTGTTGTGTGTTTGGTGTGGCTAATGGTAGTGAAATTAGTGAGTTGTTTTGTGTGTGGTGGTGTGGTCGTGTCTGGTGTGTGTGTGTGTGGTGCGTTAGAGTGTGGTGTGTGTGTATGCATGTAATAAGTGTATGTTTGTGTGTGTGTTTGTGTGCGTGTTGGGGTTGTGTATTAATAGTATTTGAAAAAAAAAAGCAAAATGATAAATGATAAAGAAATAAGGATGTGAGCTTCGTTCCTTATGTTCTATCTCGACTTCGAAACGCGATTACGGCTAACAGTCACGCAGCGGTTATTTACATACATAGCAGATAACGTTATCATCCTTCAGCCGAGAGAAATACTGAACAAAGAAAAATAAGATCTCCTCAGGCCAAAATCGCGAGAGGGAAAATGCCTTTGCCTCCTCCTCGCCCGCAGAGGTCAGGAGAGGTCAGAGGTATAGCAGCGTTAAAAAAAGCGAGTCTCCGCCTCAGAAGCCAGCGAAATGCGTTGACGTGCAATTAATTCACGGAGCCATGAAGCGCATTTTCCTCCCTCTCTCTCTCTCTCTCTCTATCTCTCTCCTCCTCTCCCTCTCCTCTCTCCTCTCTC